AGGCACTTACCCTTTATAAAATTTCTGTGCTTCTCTCCCTCCCTTCCTCCTTCTCTTACTTGTTTATTTAATTTCCCTTCCTTCCTTTCTTATAAATGAAAGCGTGCTGTATTGTTCTATGCCGTACTTTTTAAAAAAGATTTATTTATTTTTAGTGTGAGTTGGGGGGGGAGGGTGGAAGGAGAGGGAGAGAGAGTCTTTAGCAGACTCCCTGCTGGGCCTGAGATCAGGACAAGAGATCACCATCTGAGCTGAAACCAAGAGTTGGTGACTTAACCGAGTGCCCCCCACCAGGCACATTGCATGCCTTGCTTTTTAAAATTTTTTTTAAATTTTTTATTATGTTATGTTAATCACCATACATTACATCATTAGTGTTTGATGTAGTGTTCCATGATTCATTGTTTGTGCATAACACCAAGTGCTCCACGCAGAACGTGCCCTCCTTAATAGCCATCACCAGGCTAACCCATCCCCCCACCCCCCTCCCCTCTAGATCCCTCAGGTTGTTTCTCAGAGTCCACGGTCTCTCATGGTTCGTCTCCCCCTCCGATTTCCCCCCCTTCATTTTTTCCCTTCCTGCTATCTTCTTTTTTTTTTTTTAACCTGTAATGTATTATTTGTTTCAGAGGTACAGGTCTGTGATAGACACTGGGGAGGGTATGTGCTATGGTGAGCACTGTGAATTGTCTAAGACTGTTGAATCACATGCCTTGCTTTTTTAACTTAACCAAATCGGTACATAGTGTAAGGCCACCTTCAAATGTGGACTTTTTCTGTCCTCTCAAACAGTGCTCTCCAAACCTTTATGTATCACGCCGTCATTTAAAAACTGCTGGAGGCATACCAAAAAAATATAATTATTCATTCATTTATAGAGTATAATCACACCACTACTGTGCTAATAACATTTACATTATAAAAGTCATCAAAATAGAAATTTTAAAATGATAAAGATGAAATTTTACATACTAAATTTTTAAAAACTGTATTTGATTTTTAGTAGTACAAAGTATTTTTGCTCCTTAAAATATTACTGTTGATATTTTTAACAGGATCAATGTGTTGCATATGCTTTGTCATATTTGAAAAATCTTGGGTCACCCTTTTGTGATACAGCAATTCAAGTTCTGGTTATATGTTCACTTCACTTTGACACTTGGATTCAAAGTCCATCAGAGCTGAAGCAGACACTTTACAGATGGAGATACATAGATCCAAATGGAAGAAAGGCCTCATTCAATGAGCTTTATTAACTCCCCACACTCATTTTTCAATCCTATCTTTTGCGCAAAGACATTTGTTGAAATTTTCCTTTATTTAAGGTTTTTGTTCTTTATCTTGTGCAACAAAGTAAATGGAAACATTTCTAAACACCTGTTTTCAAAATGTTTTTGCCATAGGTTGAGTTTCTTTCGAAGAGAAACGACTTTCTCACTAACTGTTAAGAGTGCTACTTCAACCTTGAAAGGACAGACTGTGGGTTTCCTCTTTGTGTGTGTATGTATGTATGTATTTTTGTGTGTGTTTACTTTTAAAAACAGTATGTGCTAGATGCCATACTAACAATATCCACTCACCATGACAGAAAATGACAGCTCCTCTGCAAACACTTGTCCTTTTGTCAAAGAAAGAATACACGACTCGTTCCCAGGTTCTACAGCTCCTTTAAATACGCTGCCATGAGATGACCACCGAGGTACCCGAGGCTGATCTGCCATTCCCCATTGGAAGGCAAAATGCTATAAAGATCCTCCAATTTGAAGGCTTTGTTTTTATGAAATTAATCCCATTTGATGGTATCCTATAAGCATGGAAGTTGCAATTGGCAATAGGCAAGACCCAGAACCATGAGAAGGTCCCTCCCCTCTCCTCCCTGCATCTCCCTCTCTGTGTGTACGTTGTTCATGGTAATGGCAGCCATGTGAGACATCAGACTGTCTCATGTTTGGATCAAGAGGTGGCATCTTAATGGATTGTCTTGAATGTCCCATGAAAGGTGTGTACCCCACACGAAGATTCTCTATGCAAGGACTCTCTCCAAGTGAATTCAAAAACTTGTTTTCCTTTAGTCTCTGAAATACTCTTCCCTCCCTTTTAAAGTAAAATACCTGACAGATTTAGTCTCCACAGGACTATACCCTCAGGGGAGTTGGCTAGGGTTGCTCTGGGAAGGCTTGGCAGGTTGTCCCTCGGACAGTCCTATGCCTGTGACAGCAAGATGATAAACATGACAGCATCTACAACTTCTATTTATTGGGCTATTATTTTGTGTGGGTCCCTACTCTAAGTGTTTCATAAATACAGTCGATTCTCTTTGTTCATTCTAGTTCTCTTCTGTAACATCTCCCCAAATACTGAATTGGTGAATTCTGAACCATTGCTCCTAGGGGAAATATAGGATGTGGTTCCTACTAGCCTCTGGTCACAACATTTTTGTCAACCGATTAGTACATAACTTTGTTTTATGTGTGTTTCTGTTTAAGGATTTTATTTATTTTAAAGAGAGAGGGAGCATGAGCGGGGGAGGGACAGAGGGAGAGGGAGATAGAGAATCCCAAGCAGACTCCTTGCTGAGCGCAGAGCCCATCGGCAGGGCTTGATCCACAACCCTGAGATCATGACCTGAGCGAAAACCAAGAGTCAGATGCTTAACTGACTGAGCCACCCAAGCGCCCCATGTGTGTTTCTGTTTAAAGAAACCTTATAAAATGTATGTTGTTGCTTTATTAATATTGAATTCATGGCCAACAGCACTATAACTTGTGCTTGAATGAAGACTATCTAACAGACGTACTTTCTCCGTAAGGCACACCACAGCCCTCTTGCACTGAGGACCTCCAGACAGTATTTCAGCACTGTTTAGGAGCCCTTTTAAATAAAAAAAAGTACCAATAAAAAGCACAAAAATGTAGAAAAATGTGGCACTAGACTACAAAAAGAACACCTGTTTGACCGTGGCTGAGAATGTGCACATTGAGCAACTCACATTTTTTCATCACTCTGCCCATGTTCACAAATGACCATACAAGTGAGCAAGTATTGATTTTGGGGTTACAAATAAATTTTAGTGAACAGGTGATACAAATATGGAATCTATGAATAATGAAGATCGACTGTAATATCTCATGGTACCCTTGTGAAATGGATACTAGTACAATGATACGTGAACTGAAAGGATCCTCAGGAGTCTCTGTCTTCTTTGAGACTTTGGGAAGCTAGGACAGTGAAGTGACTTACCCCAAAATGTCCAGGGCACACACATGGCACTAAACTCCTGCTCTCCCAGCCACAGTTGGTGCCCTTTCCACTGCATATTTTTGGGACCAAATGCAACAATTTAAATGGCAGGTGGGGCTATATGCAAAACTATTTGCACATTCCCCCTAGCTTATTCTCTGCAATAATTAAAATCTGTTTTTGATCAGAATGTTTGATTTGATGTCTGGTAGTATAGGGGCACAGTGAGAGATATCGATAAAAAAAAAACCCACAGGGCGCCTGGGTGGCTCAGATGGTTAAGCGTCTGCCTTCGGCTCAGGTCATGATCCCGGGGTCCTGGGATCGAGTCCCGCATAGGGCTCCCTGCTCCTTGGGAGCCTGCTTCTCCCTCTGCTTCTCTCTCTCTCTCCCTCTCTCATGAATAAATAAATAAAATCTTAAAAAAAAAAAAAACCCACAAAGGGAGATCACCAACCTGAATGAAATCAGGCACAAAATGAGAAATTAAAAGAACCCAAAATATTTGCAGCAAGAACAGGCTTTGACTTTTCAAATTTAGTTCTCCAGTGAGCCAATTCATAAATGGGTAAAATGAGAGAAATGATGTTGAAAAAGCCAAACGTGCTGGGGAATTTCAGAGGTGAGAGCACATGTTGCATAAACAGGAGAGATGTGCCAAAATGGGGTATTTTAGTTGGAAAATTACTAATGTATGCATATTTATAAATGTATGTATTTGGATGCCAGATTGTCTCAAATTTTTTTGATATTCCAACAATTATACAAAATCAGTTTGTTCCTTATTTGGCTTAAAGAAGTACAGAATTTAAAATGGCTCATAACTCATGCAGCCTGCAGGCTGTTTGATAAACGTGTACACCTGAAATGAGCCAAGACACTGAAAAACCAAGAAGCAAAAAACAAAGAAAGAAAAGACGAAGATTCAGTGTGTTCTTTGAGTAAGAACCTCTGCGTATCACCAATTGGTACATTATTACTTTTATCTATAAGATTTCTATTTCAAAGAATTCCAAGCTACCTTTCTTGCTAAGACTCTCCACATTCCAAAGTCTTGCCCACCACTATTATGACTGCACCCATTCCTCTGTAGTGATAATTAGATGCTCTTACCCAGTGTACTTACCAAACACTTTTTTTTTAAGATTTTATTTATTTGAGAGAGAGAGAATGAGAGATAGAGAGCACGAGAGGGAAGAGGGTCAGAGGGAGAAGCAGACTCCCCGCTGAGCAGGGAGCCCGATGTGGGACTTGGATCCCGGGACTCCAGGATCATGACCTGAGCCGAAGGCAGTCGCTTAACCAACTGAGCCACCCAGGCACCCCTTACCAAACACTTTCATATGCATACTATGAGACAAACTCTCCTGTTATTTACAGAACAAGATGCTGTTACAACTTTATCCACTTACTGCACCTACTCTTAGAAGGAATTAAAAATTCCCATTCAAGGCCTCGACGTTCCATATATCCGCTTGTTTCTGAAACAGGGTCTCAGAATCCATTCTTCCCATCCGTTAAGTTAGAAGAGGTCATTCTTACTCATGAGTAGCATTTTCTTAAAGTTAATTTTGTAATGAAACATCTCTCCCCCAAAACAGAACCCTCCTTGTTTCAAGGATAATTTTTATTGATGGGAAACATTTTAAAGATATAAAAAGACAATTTTCTTATTTATAGGACAGTTTCCATTTTGGAAATTTTCTTCTCAAAGATTAAAACCCCTCAATGTTCTTTCTTTTAGGAAAGCAGCTTATCCATCAATAAGGATCCCATCCTCTCTCAAAAATGAATCGATTAATCATGTCAAAAGATCTCAGAGGCTGGTCATAGGGTAAAATGTGTCCTCCACCTCGAACAATTACCTTAAAGAAGAAAAAGAAAAGTTTAGAGAAATGGATGTTCTACATGAATGGAAAGTTTTAGTTCAGACTGAAGTATTCTTAAAGCTTCCATGAAATACAGAACATATTCTGTATCAATCCATGCCTTTGGATATGCTGATTGTCTAAGATTTGATAGCTTTAATTATAGGTACTTTAAGGTAGGAAAGGTTTACAGTTGTGTGGTTGTTTAACAAAAAATTGTGTTCATCTTTCACATTTATAGAAACTTGAAAATTGTCTTTTTCCTTTTGGGAGTGAGCTGTCTGCTAGTCTGTGCTGTGTTATTCTTCCCTGGTGAAGCCCCTGAGGTGTGAAGACCTACCCTGTGGCCATCTCTGCCTCCCCCATCTGGGTGGAGGAATCCACCCACCTCCCCCCTTCAGTCCGCTGAGCCACTTGGCCCTCACACTGAGCTCTACCTGCCATATTAATCTTGGCCATTAATACAGGGGATATTTTGATTCTCCAAAAAATTAAAATGACAAACATGAGAAATCCTTGACACCTGAAATTTTTAAAAGGCCATTTTTTTGAGTAGCACAGAATTAGAACGTTCTTTTTTCCCGACATTTTATTATGAAAAAAATTCAAACACAGAGCAAATCTGAAAGAATTTCATAGACTTACCACTTAGATTCTCTCATTAACACCCACTTTACTCATTTTCTCACACTACCCAACTATTAATCCATCCTATCTTTTTGACACATTTCAAAGTCAAATATGGGTATCAGTCGACTTCCCCCAGATTTTATGTAAAATTAACACACAATGAAGTGCAGTTCTGTTAAGTGCGGGCTCACTGAGTTTGTACAGTAGTGGATACCTGTGTCACCTAACAAGATATATAGAGCATTCTGAAACACCTAGAGTTAAGGTGAGTGCAGACCCTTGTGCTTGGTGCCATACCGATAAAAAAGAAAAAAAATAAAAGCAGGGGCAGGGTGGGGGGGACTCGTCTCTGTATTCGGAAAGCCTCTGGTTTCAGCAAATGTCCCAAGTAGAGGACAAGGGGAGGCCTTCGGGATTCAACACCGAAAGGGAAAGAACCGACACAGTGTTGGCAGGCCCCCTGCAGGAGAGAGCAGTGTGGCCTGCCACGTCCTACGGCATATGTGGAAAATGGGCAGGAGTTAGTAGTGGATGAAGGGAGTGAACACAGGCAGGAAAGGGTCACATTCGGTAAGTTCTAGCTGCTAAATCAGAATCAGCAAGTAAAGGCCCCTTTGACAAGGCCCTTCGTGGCTTGTTTTACCTGCCTCAATCAGAAGGGAACTGAGACAGAAGAAAAGTACACATATATTTACAGAGTGCATTTAATATATTAATAATCCACCCCCAACACCCAGCGTCTTAAGACCTTGCTATGCGGGAAGTGGGATCAAGATGATTAGATGAATTTTGCTTTGCAACTCACAGCTACACAGGTTGTGCACTGCACAACTAACTGCAGAAAGCACTTAGCAACCTCGGTGACTGAGTGATATGGAGCTATTAAGAGGCTTGTCCAAGTCACCCAATTATAACTGAGAGAATGAGCTGGGACCTGGCTTTTGATGCACACACCAGTGTTTCTTTCAAATCCTAGTATTTGTATAATAATTCTTTACATTTGAACTAAACTTTATAACTTAGTCATAGAACGTTTCACCTGGCTCTCAGCAGCCCTCTGAGGCAAGTAAGGGAAGTAGACCACCATTACAGATGTGAAATTGGACTTATCCCTCACACACAATTGGCAACACCTGCTGTATGCCACACCCATCAATGGCCATTTGTGCCTTGCTGCCATGACAGTGGAGCCCATCTGCCATTTGCGTACAAGCTTGTGTCTGGAAACCCAATGTGTCTCACTTTGTCACAGACTGAAAGTCAACCTATGTGTGACATGAGCCCGTGCATGCGACTCTAGAGAAAAACTTTTGTTGCCCCCACAGTCCCAGGCTAGAATTCTCTTCCTTTAGGTTCCCATACAAATCGCCGGCTCTGGCCGGAATCTGATGAGTGATTCTATGCAACTTCAGCTCAGCTAAGGACACTTAGGGGAGTCATGTTTGTGACAAAACCCAGCTGCTGCCTGGCAGCAATGGTCCGGAACAGCGGTAAGCTGAATCCAAGAGCTAATGGTCATCCTGCCTCCTGGACCAGAGCTGCAGCTAATGGGGGGTAACTTAGTGCTTTATGGCCTGGGCCTGGAGTCAGGAGGGCAGGAGCACGACTCGAGGCACAGCAAAAGCTGTGTGACCCTGGGCAAATAACTTACCTGCTCTGAGCCTCAGTTTCCTTCACTGTACAATAGAGAAAAAAGTATTACCTCTTGGGATAGTTGGGAATTACGGGAGCAATTAGTGGAATGATGTACATGGAACACTTAGCATAACACCTGGATGGTAATAAATATTAACCATTGTCATTATTCTTTCAACAGTTATCTCTACTCAAAACCCAGGATTGAAATGCTTATATCAAACTACCCTAAAACACTGTGTTCCTACATTAGCATTAAGAAAACTCGGTGGGGGGGGCGCCTGGGTGGCTCAGTTGGTCTGCCTTGGCTCAGGTCATGATCCCAGGACCCTGGGATCGAGCCCCACGTCGGGGTCCCTGCTCAGTGGGAACCTGCTTCTGCTTCTCCCTCTGCCTGCTCTTCTGCCTCCTTGTGCTCACTCTCTGGCAAATAAATAAAAAAATCTTAAAAAAAAAGAAATCTTGGTTTCAGGGAGTTGTTTAAAACAGCGCTTCTCAGACTAGAATGTGCATCAAAACACCTGAGCTCGTTAGAACAGACTGCTGGGCCACACCCCTAGACTTTCCAGCACTGAAGGTCCAGGGCAGGGCCTGATAATTTGCATTTCTAACAATTCTAAGGTGATGCTGATGCTGTTGGTCCAAAGACTACTCTTTGAAAACCGCTGTTTATAAGAACCTTTTCCATTCTGTGACAAACCAGGCAATTCTCTATTTATATCAAGGGAGAATACAAACAGAAATTTGTTTAACACCTACTCATGGCCTCACCTTAGTGTATTTCTCCTGATCATTTGCTTTCCTTCTATTTACACACACACACACACACACGCATACACATTCTATGACCATGATAAGTGGTGAATAAGAGGTGATAAGGTTGGGTGTTACAATTCTTCTCAGTAACCTGCCTGACCCCCAGTCTAGTTCTGAGCTGCCATATGTAATGACCAAATGTCATCATGAATGGTGTCATTAAGATCGGAAAGAAAAGCTCATTTGGGAACAAAGTCTTTTTCACACACCACAAAATTCTAAAGTATGTTCCCTAGCATATTGACAGCATTTTACCGATGTCAACCTCAAATAAATTTATGAGTGCCGGAAAAAAAACAAAAAACCGATCTGTTGTTTATAGCCAAGCTGCTCACCACTCTCAAATCAAGGACACAAACCACTCCATGGTTTTTAGAGGTGTGTAACAAAATGTGACAGGGCTGTGATTTTCTATTTAAATGTGACAAGATTCATCCAAGGCTCCCTGGATAGAAATGGTCTCATCGTCAGAAACTGTGTATGTTGGGTGTTTCCACATGAGAGCTCAATTCTCTAAACTCATATATTCCAGATGTTCCAGGGGGGTCAACAGATGTGTCATGAATTTTAAAAGGGTTATGCAAACACTTTAAAGCTTCATTCCACTTTATTTTTGTAGAAAAAGATACAATCCTCCCTGGAACTGGAAACATGGACCTGGCAGCAAAGGTCTCCCAGTTGTGCCGTTAGAGGTGACAAGAGAGGGAAATTCAAGCTGGGAGAGTGGGTGTAGCTTTGTTCAGGGAGACGTGGTGGGGGTCTTGCAGGAGCAGATGTCTGGACAGACAGTACGAGGTGGGATGGGGAGGGACACACTGCACCCAGAGGAAATGCCCTTGCAAAAGCAGCGCAGCAGAGTGTGAAACTGCGAGGCACATGCAACAAGCTACAGCCTGCACAGGGTTCCCCGTGCCATCCCGATCAAAATACCAATGGCATTTTTCAAAGTGCTGGAACAAACAATCCTAAAATTTGTATGGAACCAGAAAAGACCCTGAATCGCCAAGGAAATGTTGAAAAAGGGTCAGAGGGGAAAGAAAAGGGAGAGTTGAATAGACAAATACTAGTGAGACCATGTGATAGCCCATATGATGTGCTGCTGGGTGTGTGTGTGTGTGTGTGTGTGTGTGTGTTAAAATACACATAACATAAAATTACCATTCTAACCATTTTTAAATGAACAGTAAGATTTCGTACATTCACAATGTGGTGCAACCATCACCACTGTCTAGTTGCAGAATGTTTTCATCACCCCAAAGGGAGCCCTGTATCCATTAGCCATCTCTCCCCATTCTCCTGTCCCTGCCCACCCCTGGCAATCAAGAGGCTGCTGTCTCTGTGGAGCTGCCTCTTCTGGACACATCCAAGAGGGTTTCAAGCAGGGCAGTAACATGCTCAGATGTGCATTCAAGAAAGAGGCCTTAATGTGCAATGAGGGGGCTGATTTGGAAGGAAATAAGACTGAGGCAGGGAGGCGAATTAGGAGACCAGCTGTTCAGGTGAGAGAGGATGTGGGCACATAGGAGAAATGGGGAGAAGGGGAAGGAGAACAGGGATGTCGGGGTGGAAGCAATAAAATCAGTGACTCGTGGGCGCCTGGGTGGCTCAGTTGGTTAAGCGACTGCCTTTGGCTCAGGTCATGACCCTGGAATCCTGGGATCGAGTCCCGCATCGGGCTCCCTGCTCAGCAGGGAGTCTGCTTCTCCCCCTGACCGTCTTCCCTCTCATGCTCTCTATCTCTCATTCTCTCTCTCTCAAATAAATAAATAAAATCTTAAAAAAAAAAAAAAATCGGTGACTCGTCAGCTGTAAAGGTAAAGTGCAAGCATCCCCCAACCCATGTACACATCCTCCCCATTTCAGGCTTCTTCTTCTTCTTTTTTTTTTTTTAAGATTGGAGCTATAATCTTTTAATG